TCTCTCTCTCTCACTGTATATAGATCTTTATTTTCTTTCATCCTTCTCCTCAACCCAGTTGTTTCTTCCCTTTGAGGATTCTTTCCCTTTCACAGTATCGTACTTTTCAGAATATTTTAGCATCTTCAGTAGCATTTTCTCCCCTAATTTTCAAATTAGAGAATTCATACTTTGATTTTGCACTGGGCTTAATGAATTATGTAGTTGACTATGGGTATATTTTTGAATTTTTCTTTTAAAGATCTTTTAAGTTGAAGGACTATGCTTTTTATCATTTACACCATTTAAAGACTTTTATTATAAATAGCTTAGTAGTGTCTGAGGTACTATTGGTATTTTACTTTACTTTTCCATAATAAATTATGAACATATTCTTATTGTTTAAATTTTAGCACAAGTTCCTACATAGCACTGACATTATGTATCAAGTTATAGTAATTTTTAAAAATTGAAAATTGAATGGCCAGCCAGATAGCTCAGCAGACTAAAGTGCCTGGATTTAATCCCTGACATGCTGTGCTGGCTCTGTCCCCGGGGCACGCTGAGATGATGATTGAGACTAGGTGTCTTGGGGCATGCCTATAATCTCAGCGCTTGGGAGGCTGAAAGTAGGAGAATCACTATGAGTTCCATCTATGTAGTGAAACCCTGTAGACCCTGTCTTAAATACAAAAAAAGAAAAGAAAATTGATGCATAATAATTGTATGTATCTATGAGATAGAGATATAGTGTTATATTTTATTGCATATATGTGAAACTATGGACAGATTGATAAACTTGAATATTACCTTGGTGCAGTGGCCATGCTAATACTCTCTGTATCATTCCAATTTTATATTTTAGTTCATTGAGGTCCTAGTAGGAAAGTCGGATCTGTTATTATTTGTTTATTTAACCATGAGAATGTTTTTATCTCTGGGTTTTTTGACTTTGCTTATGCAATGAAGAGACTGAATTAGATGGTTCTTTATTAAGGTTTCTCAAGGTAGCAGGTTACTTCTCTTATTTATACTTTTTAAAGGTCTTTATTACAGACAGCTAGGTAATGTTTGTAGATGTGTATAGTACATGTGTTCTGTTCATTCCTCGTATATTTCTATTTTCCATGATCCTCTTCCCAAAGTTGATCCTTAGTAACTGTTGTCTGGATAAATGAATGGATAAATGAGTTAGTGAAGGAAGTGAATGTCACAACTGCTTCACACTTAGACATTTGCTCTTCTTTCATCATAAAAAGATTTTATGTGAAGGGTATATGATAGAAACTCTGAAAACAATAGAAAGGGCACTGATACTGTCCAGGGACATAACTCCAGCCACTAAGAACCACTTTCTTCTAGCGCCTAGGAAAAGACCCCCTCTTTGTGCATTCAGTTGCATTTCCAATGCTTTAGGCTCCAGATTTAGTGGTGTGTTCCCAGTTCAGACTCCCATAAAGGAATTGGATAATGGCCAGAGAGCCTCGTAGGTGTCAGAGGCTCAGTCCCATAGGAGGCATTTAAAAGTTCCTGTCTATATTAGAGCCTTTTATTTCCCACAATCATTTGAAATCATGGAGTGAGAAAAGGAGTGTGGAGAATGATCTTGTGAAATTCAACTTCTTGAATCATTAATATTTACAGATAATATTTGGAGAATCTTGGCTGCCCATCTCCTTGATGCTGACCAACATATAATTTGGCATTATAAACCAGATAGCTCTTCTTTCTCTAGAACAAAACATCCAGCCTCACTTTCCACTTTCACAAGCTCTGTTCATAATTTCTTAATGACTCAGGCAGAATTTTCCAACTCAGCATCATATTGGTTTCCCTGAATTATTTGAACTAAAGGATTTGCCTGAGCAGGAGGTAGGCCTCATATCTCATTGAACACTTATCTTTTAATTTCTTTTTAATTTCTTTTTATTTTTTAGAGAATAAAAATAGTATTTAAACAAAAAAAATTACAAGGGAAACAGAATTTCACTTAACAAAATAATATCAATGTCACAGTATTTGTTGTAATGCATAGGGTTTTCTTACAACTACTTGTTCATATTACCAGATATTTGCATGCAAAATTGGAAGAACAGAGACCCAGTCCTAACCAAGGCCCACCCAGTGTGTGGGAGAGCTTCCAGGTACCATGTGCCTGCGGGATCTACTGGTCCCAGCCCAGGCTCAGCGTGGGTGAGACCCTATTCCACCCCCTTGGGATGCCCCCAACCACTCTGCAGCACCTTCCCCACCCTGCCTACAAAGTAGGAATTTCTGCTGCGTTCCAGAAACACCCAGACCCAGTCTTAGCCCAGGCCCAGTGAGTGTGTGGGAGAGCATCCGGCTGCCTGGTGCAGGCAGGACCTACTGATTCCAGCCCAGGTGCAGCATGGGTGAGACCATGTTCAACCTCCTTGGGACGCCCCCCACCACTCCACAGCACCTCCTCCAACCGGCCCGCCCAGTAGGAAATTCTGCCGCATTCCAGGAACCCCCAGACCAAGTACTAGCCCAGGCCCAGTAAGTGTGTGGGAGAGCTTCTAGCTACCCTGTGCAGGCAGGACCTACTAGTCCCAGCACAGGTGCAGAGTGGGTGACACCCACTTTCACTCTCTTGGGATGCCCCCATCACTCCTTAGTAACCCCCACACACTGCACACAGAGTAGGAATTTCTGTTGCATTCCGGGAACCCTGAGATCCAGTCCTAGTCCAGGACCAGTGAGTGTGTGGGAGAGTTGCCTCTCCCACCTACTCCACATTGTCCCCTCCAGACTCAGATAAATCCTGGCAAACAGGCCTGGCATGAAACCCTTCAGCTGCAATCCCTGCAGAGAGTGTAGGGAAGAGAATCAGCCAGCTATTCCAGGAGCAGAACATCTTGCCAGGGGGCACAACAGGTTCACACTCAAGGACAGCAACAGGAAGGAACTGAGCACAGCAATCAGATGCGAGCCAGGCACAGCTGGATAAATCCAAACTTTGTAGATGTACACCTGAACTCCACTAGGTGCTAATGCTATAACTGCAACAAAGATCTACAACAAAGGTCAGAAGACAGTGCTACACAAAATGACAATGAGAAGGAACAAAATGCAATCGCAGAACCCAAACACACCCATAACAAGTGCAGAAGACACTAGCACAGCTCAAATGTATGAATTAATAGGGTCGATAGTAAATAAGCAACAGCAGAAAGTCATAGAGGAACTCAGAGCAGAACTCTTTTCTGCTAGCTCAGCTCAAATGTATGAATTAATAGCATTGAAAGTGAATAAGCAACAGCAGAAAGTTATAGAGGAACTCAGAGCAGAATTATTTTCTGAAATAACAAAGAATTCTCAGAACCCATAGCATCTGAAGTAAAGATTCAACTACAGAAACATAGGGAGGAAAACCAATCTGAAAAAAAACATTGCAGTAAAAGAATTTATAACTGTTTCAAAAGAAGATATCAGTAAAAAAAATAGAGGAGATTAGAAAAATGACGGATTCCTTAAATGAGCAATACAGGAAAGAAATAGATCGCATGAAGCAGAGTCAAAGAGATATAGAGGAAATTAAAATCTCAATCATAAGCTTGCAAAACTGTTTAAATAAATGTGAAGACAGAGTTTCAGATCTTGAAGATGCTGGTACAGCTAGTGAAAAGGTACGAAAGGATCTCCTAAAAACAAATATGATGGAGGCTGGTGAGATGGCTCAGTGCTCTAAAGCACCTACTTAGAACAAGCTTAGCAAAGCACAGGGACTCTGGTTCAATCCTCCAGCACCACATGCCAGGCCCGCCCCCAGGTGGGTGGAGCTGGCCACACACACACACACACACACACACACACAAATAAAATAAATAATGAAAAAAATAAAATGTAGGAAAAAATAATCCATCACCTGAAATATGATGCAAAGATGAACAATGTGAGACCAATGAGGAAGAAGGAGTCAATACAAAAGACATTAAGAAAATGGGCAGAAGTAACAGCAGAAAAGTTCCCAAATATGAGCAAACATCTGATATTCACGTAACTGAAGCATAAAGAATGCCAAGTAACCACAACCCAATTAAAAACATACCGAGACATAATAGTCAAGATCCCAAAAATTGAGCACAAGAATAATTTACTGAAAGCAGCTAGAGAAAAGAAGCAGATCACATTCAAAGGAAAACCCATCAGAATTACAGCCGACTTCTGTTCACAAACCATGAAGTCAAGAAGAGCATGGAGCAGAGTACTTCAACTCCTTTATGAAAACAAATTCCAGCCCAGACTACTATAACCTGCAAAACTCTCTTTCAAGTTTGATGGAGAAGTGAAATACTCTCATGACAAAGAACAGGTAAAGAATTTCATGATGACAAAGCCAACCCTACACAGGCAACTGAAAGATGTTCTAGAGAGAGAATAAAATGATAAGAACTCCATGAATGAGATCAGAAGCAACCAACTACACAGGTCAAGCAATTAAACACAGGAGAAAAAAGAGTAAACAACAACAGGTAAATAGCATGTCAATCATAAGTCAATAAATCTCAAATCTAACCATCAATGTAAATGACTCAATTCACCAATTAAAAGAAATAGATTGGCACAGTGGATAAGGAAACAAAATTCAACAATATGATGTATACAAGAAGCACATTTAATGTATAAAGATATTCATAGGGTGAAAGTCAAAGAACATTACACAGTACTAAATGCCCCAGCACCTCACAAAAAAGCAGGGATAGCAATCCTATTCTCAGTCAGTCTCAACTTCAAATCAACAATGATCAAGCGAAATAAAGAAGGAAACTATATACTGGTTAGGTGAAAAATTCAAGACGAAGAGGTAACACTCATAAATTTCTTTGCACCAAACACAGGAGCACCCAATTATATAAAGCAAATCTTAATGGACATGAAAAATCTAATATTCAATACCACAATCTTAACAGGAGACCTTAACAGACCCTTTTCCCAAAAAGATAGATCAACCAGACAAAAACCTAGAAAAGAAATAACAGAAGTGAACCAGAGCTTGAAACAAATGGACGTGGTGGACATATACAGTGTTCCACCCAAACACAGTTGAATATACATTTTTCTCAGGTGCACATGGGTTATTTTCTAAAATAGACCACATTCTGGTCCATAGGTCATGCTTAAGTATATTTAAGAAAACAGGAATGATGCCATGCCAATTATCTGACCACAGAGCAATGAAACTGAAAATAAATGACAAAAGAAGCCAGAAGGGGGCCTGGCACTAGCTCAGTTCTTTAAGTGGCTGCTTCCTTAAAGCTGTCAGCCTCAGGTTGCTATAGTTCGATCCCCACAACTCTCCAGCCAGCCAAACCTGCCCTGAAGACATTCGGCACAAAAAAAAAGAAAGAAAAAGAAAAGAAACCAGAAAAAAAACCTTTAAAAACATGGAAAGTATTTTTTATTTTTTATTTTTTATTTATTTATTTTTTTCTGAACCGGGAATTGAACTCAGCCCCTTGTGCTTGCCAGGCCAGCGCTTATTCTACAGAACCATCTCCCCTGCCCAATACACGGAAATTAAATGACACCCTACTTAACAACCAATGGGTCAACGATGAAATTAAACAAGAAATTCAACAATATCTACAATTCAATGAAAATTCAAGCACAACTTATTGTAATTGATGGGTTACAATGAAAACAGTTCTCAGAGGGAAATTCATAGCTGTGAACTCACACATTAGGAAAAAACAACGGGAACAAATAAATACCCTAATGCTACATCTTCATCAACTAGAAAAGGAAGAGCGAAACAAACCCAGAGTCTAAAGATGGGAAGAAATCGTAAAGATAAGAGCAGAAATTACTTTGATTGAGAGGTAGAAAACAATTCAAAGAATTAAACAGCAGCAAGC